AAAAGCCTAGGCACCCCACCCTTGACTCCAATAAAAGCAGAACACCAGACCTGCTCACTAGATGCTCTGGCTCTGTCTCTCTTGCTCTCTCTCCTCTCAACCTCACTGTGTGGTCCCAGGCATGCCATGTAACCTCCAGGACTTGTGAGTACTAACTCTTCTCTTTTCAAAGTTCCCGGATGGTTGTTGCTGAAGTGTGTCTTGCCATCATAATAAGAACTACAAGGCCTGGTCCAGCCACATCACCAACTCTGGTTGGGGAGATGTCTACAGGGGCTCACTGCAAGTAGCATGGGCCCAGGTGAGTGTCCCCAGGCATTCCTAGTCAATAACATCACTATGGATAGGCCAAGACCAACCTCAAACACTACCTTACTAGAAATATTAACACAGGCTAAAATAAACAGAATCCCTCTTTTGACAAAATGCAAGCTATTACATGTGAACTCAAAAAAAAAAAAAAAATAGTGCACATGGGGTGCCTGGATGGGTCAGTCGGCTAAGCATCCAACTTCAGCTCAGGTCATGATCTCACAGCTCGTGAGTTCGAGCCCCGCATCAGGCTCTTTGCTGACAGCTCAGAGCCTGGAGCCTGCTTCAGATTCTGGGTCCTCTTTCCCTGCCCCTCTCCCACTCATGTTCTGTCTCTCTCTCAAAAATAAATAAACGTTAAAAAATAAAAATAAAAAAAAAATAGTGCACAAAATGCCAACTCCTCTTTTTAAACCCTTCTCTTATAATATAGCCACAAAGCTCAATCAAATAAGCACTATACAAGCACTATAAAACCCATTAAGAAATTTTAAAATACCAAATTCAAATCATGTATGAAGAGTTGCAATAATCTGCATTTTAAACTTCTCCAAACACCAAAGCCAGACAAAGACACCACAAGAAACTAGAAACCAGTAACTCTTATCACTATAAATGCAAAAATCCTCAACAAAATACTAGCAAACTAAATCCAACTCACAGTAAAAGAATTCTATACTATGACCAGATGGGATATATGCCAGGAATGCAAGGATGATTCAATATAAGAAAATAAATTACCTTAACATAACAGATTAATAGAGCAAAAGGAAAAAGAATACATGATTATTTCAATACATGTAGAAAAAATTTTTGACAAATTCTAATATTCTTTTATGACATAAAACACTCCATAAACTAAGAATAAAATGTAACTTGCTTAACATGAAAACAGGGATTTCTGGAATCCCCCAGCTAATATCATATCCAAGGTGAAAAACTGAAAACATTCTCTCTAAGGTCAGGAACATTTTCATCAGTTCTACTAGAAGTCCTAGCCAGAGCAATTAGGGAAAAATAAGAAATAATAGCCATCCAAATTGGAAAGGAAGAAGTAAAACCACTTCTATTCACAGATGATAAGATTCTGTACATTAAAAAAATCCCAAAGGAGCCACAAAAAATCTACTAGACTAACAAATTCAGTAAAGCAGGTGCAAGGTCAACACACAAAGATCAGTTGTGTTCTATATACAAGCAATGAACAATTCAAAAAGGAAATTAAGAAAACAATTTTACTTATAATAGTTTCTAAAATAATAAAATACTTACGAAAAATGTAACCCAGGAAGTTAAAGACTCGTACACTGAAAATTACAAAACATTGCTGAAAGAAATTAAAGGAGATCTAAATAAATGGAAAGTCATCCCATGTTCATAGATTGGAACATCAGTGTGGCTAAAGTGGCAATACTCTCCAAAACAATCTACTGATACAATGCAATCCCTATCAAAATTCCAAAGGTGTTTTTGCGGAAATGAGGAAGGTGATCCTCAAATTTGCAGAATTACAAGGGGCCCCGAATAGTTAAAATAATATTGAAAAAGAAAAACACAGCTGGAGGGCTCACACTTCCTAATTTCAAAACTTACTATGAAACTACAGTAATAAAAATAGAATTGAATATGCAGAAGTAAACCCCAATATATATGGCCAATCTGTTTTTCACTAAAGGTATCAAGACCATTCAACTGGGGAAATAACCATCTTTTCAAGAAGTGGAGTTGGGGGGCGCCTGGGTGGCTTAGTCAGTTAAGCGTCCAACTTTCGCTTAGGTCATGATCTCGTGGTTCGTGGGTTCGAGCCCCGTGTCAGGCTCTGTGCTGACTGCCAGCTCGGAGCCTGGAGCCTGTTTCAGAGTCTGTGACTCCCTCTCTCTATGACCCTCCCCTGCTCACGCTGTCTCTCTCTCTCTCCTAGAAATAAATAAAACATTAAAAAAATTTAAAAAAAAAAAAGAAGTGGAGTTAGGATAACTAGATAACCACATGAAAAGAGAATGAAGTTGAACTATTTCCTCACTATCAAAAATCAAATGATTATGGGCCAACAACCTAAATTTAAGAGCCAAAACTATAAAGGTATTTGAAGAATACACAGGGGTAAATCTTTAGGACCTTAGATTTGGTGACAGATTCTTAGATTTGGTACCAAGAAAAAAATCAACAAAAAAATAGATAAATGAACTTTATACAAATTAAAAACTTCTGTGCCTCAAAGGAAATTATCAAGCAAATGAAGACAAACTACAGAATAAGAGAAAATATTTGAAAATCACATATTTGATGAAGGTTTTAGTGTCCAGAATACATAAAGAACTCTTAACAAAAAAGACAAAGAAATTCAAATAAAAAATAGGCAGAGGACATGAACAGACATTTTCCCAAACATACAAATGGTCAATAAGTTGTTAAATAAAAAAACTTTAGCTGAATGAATTAAAGGATCAAATTGGGTTTATTCAATGATTCATGACAGGCAGCATGTACAAAGGAGTTCCAAACGGCAATAAAAAGGGAAAAGGAAGTCATAACAACAACAAGGAAGAATTATTTCAGGCAAGGTCACCTCCTTTTGGGGAACAAATGGGTCTCACTAGATGGATTACCTTACCAGTGCTCACCGGGAAATTCCAGACTAACTGGTTAAGATTACATTCCTGGGAAAGGTTGAAACTACAATTAGGTTAGGTATTAAGCCACAGTTTGGTGTCCTGTGCCTAGCACACGTGACTCCATTTTGGGTCTTTGGTTTTCTTTTTTTTTTAACAAAGCACATTAAAACATGTTCAACATCATCGCTCATTAACAAAATGCAAAGAAAAATTTTGAGATACCACTTCACACCCACTAGGATGGCAATATTAAAAAGAAAAGAAAAGAACAAGGATTGGAGAGGATATAGAGAAACAGGAATCCTACGTTACTGATGGGAATGTAAAATGGCAAAGCTACTGTGGAAAACAATTTGGTTTTTCCTCAAAAAGTTAAATATGCATGTAACAAATGACCCAGGAGATATATATATCTCCAAAGGAACTGAAAACAGGGACTCAAACAAATGCTTATTCACAAATATTCATAGCAGCACTATTCACAATAGGCAAAAAGTGGGAACAATCCAAATATTCATCAACTGATATATGGATAAACAAATCGAGATATGTACATTCAACGGAATATGATTAGCCATAGAAAGGAATGAAATACTGATACATGCTATGACTTCAATGAACCTTGAAAACATTATGCCAAGTGAAAGAAGCCAGACACAAAAGGTCATATTTTATGATTCTTTTTTAAGAATATGAAGAATAGTAAACATCTATCACACAGTTAAAAAAAAAAAAGACTATGCAGAATAGGCAAATCCATACAAATAGGAGGCAGATTAGAGGTTCAAGGGACTAAGGGTGGGCAGAAATGGGGAATAATTATTTGATGGGTACAGTAGTTCTTGTGGAATAATGAAAAAGTTTTGAAACTACAAAGAGATGTTGATAATACAATATTGTGAATACCCTAAATGTTACTGTCTTGTACACTTTAAAATGGCTAATGTTGGGGCTCCTGGTGGCTCAGTGGGTTAAGTGTCCTATTTCAGCCCAGGTCATGATCTCAAGGTTTGTAAGTCTGAGCCCTGCATCTGGCTCACTGCTGTCAGCACAGAGCCCACCTTGGATCCTCTGTCTCCCCCCCTCTCTGCCCCTCCGCACTCATGCTCTCTCTCCCTCTCTCTCAAAAATAAACAAACATAAGTAAATTAGTTAGTTAATTAATTAAATGGCTAATGTTGGGTACCTGGGTGGCTCAGCTGGTCGAGCATTTGACTCCTGATGTTGGCTAAGGTCGTGATCCCAGCGTCATGGGCTCTAGCCTGGTGTCAGGCTCTGTGCTGAGCGTGGAGCCTGTTTAAGATTCTCTGTCTCGCCCTCTGCCCCTCTCCCTGGCTTGTGCGCGCTCTATCTAAAGTAAAAATAAATTAATTAATTAAAATGGCTAATGTTATGTTAGTGTAGTGTACGTGTATGTTACAGTAGTGTTGTAGTGATCTAAAATTTGGGCCAGTAAGAAATGCAAGGCCTCCAAGAACAGTTCAAAATAGACCTACAGTCTATTTAGAGTTATACCCTATTGTTGAGGTGAATGCTAATGATATGTATGTATGTATACATATATCTGGAAGTAATAAATTTCTTTGCAAAGATATTTTAGTCTTTTCCAACCATTTTTAATTTAAACTCAAAAATGCTTCCTCATTTTAACTGCCATCCACCCACTTTCCACCAACAAAGAAATCAACGAATATACTTTTTCAAACTATTTTATAATATCCCCCCACTCTGCCAAGAATCACTACTACAAACAGAAAACTACCATTATTCCATTAAAATATGATTTGATCTTTTTAATTTAGTTTATGATCTTCAACATGGATGTACTGCATAAAACGAAATATCTTGTATAGGTAAAAACCTGGGCCACAGAGAATTGTTAATTCCGATAATCAAAAAGAAACCAGTTAAGTAAACATAGATCTAATGATATAAACCAATATTTCAGTAATATAAACATGAGGATTTCATTTTTAATGCTGCAAAACTAGAGAATTATTCTAATATCAAATCATGTGCTTTTTTCTTTGCTATAAAGTTTCTAGTTCTCTCCCACAATTGCCTAGTTTTTACCTTTGTTTTTGTTAGCATCGGATAAAGAAAATCCTGGTGCTTGTCCTGTTTTTCCATCCAAAAAAGGCCTCAGAGGTTTGGACCAGTCTTGTGTTTTCCACCTTTTTCCACTATGTGGCACTGAGCACATTTGTGAATAAAGATCTTCTTGCCTGCTTCAGCATCTCCCATTCTGTTCTGCAATGAAACATTATACCACACACCAAAATATATGTATCAGATTTGTAAAAATGGAAAAAAAAAATCCCACCACTTTGAAATGAATACTAATGATATTAAAAAGGTAATTTAAAGTATGCATTCTTTAAAGTCTGAGTGCTCAAAAACACAAATATATTATAGCACCCAATTTTATAAAGACATCATCTCATGTATCAGGTTTATTTTAAATTTCTAGCTATAGCTACTTCAGAAATTATCCTATGGTATAAGCTTGGGTTTTACTTCAGCCTTCAAACAACTATAGTGATTTATTTAGGTCAATTATATTCCATTTTTTCTTTTCTCTTTCTAAAAGTTCATATGCAAAAAAATGATGCAAAGTATATATTTCTAATTTGGTATCCCCTTGTTTAAAAAGAAGGACAGAACAAAATGGAAAGTTGCTTAAATGTAATATTATTAGCACTTATATACCTGTAATAATAGATAAACCTGTAAAATTAAAAATCATACAGAAAAGAATGAGGCCACAGCAGGCTATATGTAACACATAACTTCTCACTTACTTTACTCTCAGCTATAAACACATCTACCATGTTAGACCGAAAATTATCTCAAAGCAATCAAGTAATATTGAGTTCAGTCAGCATTTGTATGTGTTTAACACTAATACAGTGGAAAATATACAGTGTTAAGTAGGGGAGATTTTATTTTATTATACAGTGATAGATACATACAATAAAATTTTGTAGGAAGGTATACTGGTTAAAAGTATCCAAAATTTTGTTGCATAACTAAATAAATGCGTCTTTCAAGTAAAATTATGTGAAAATTAAAATAATTTCAATTTATTGAAAAAAAATATAGTGTGAAATGCTAATGAATGCAATACCCAGGTTTTGTTTACCTGCTCTTAGTGTTCTTTGAAGAATGGGTGCAGGGGAGGTTGGGGATGGAGTTCAAAATGAGTGCTACTATTATAGAAATCATGAAAAAACTCTGACTCTCTGACAGTACAGTTTTAATCACATGTTCACCTTTATAACTCTACTGAGAAACAGAAAAATGTCTGTGTCATTATGATGCTGAAAAATACAGTATTGTTTATGTAAAGTTAGCTATTAATCAGAGGGAGGCTTGTACTTCCCATATAGCAAAGTTGGTCTCTCCCTAATTTTTTTAAATCTATGTGGAAACCCAAAATAGTGTCAATAATACACCATAAGGGAAGACAGAAATTTTCTTTGGGTCAACTAACAAGTAAGCTATTAATCAACATTTTTGGTCTGATAAAAAGCAGAGTAAGAAAACTCACTTTATCCAGGAGAAGCTTACTTTTAAATTCTAAACTTCACTCAAAACACTGCATTCAATTTTTACTTATATGTGTTCTATCAAGTCTTTGTAGGTACAGAATTCAGGGAGCCTTTGAACAGGGTCCATAGAGAAGAAAACTTTAGTCACAAATACAAACCCTACAGCCTTTTAACAAAATGCATTCACAATAATCATAAAGATCATAACATTTAAATACAAAATGTCATCTAAGCACTAGCAAAGAATCATTTCCAATGTTTAAATTTTTTTAATGTTTATTTTATCTTTTAGAGAGAGAGAGAGAGAGAGACAGAGAGACAGAGTGTAAGTGAGGGAGGGTCAGAGAGAGAGACACAGAATCCAAAGCAGGATCCAGGCTCTGAGCTGTAAGCACAGAGCCTGATGCCGAGCTCGATCTCGAACCTACAAACCATTAGATCATGACCTGAGCTGAGGACCACTGCTTAACCGACTGAGCCACCCAGGTGCCCCTCCAATTTTTATATAAAGTAGAAAAATCAGATTGATTCTTATACTTATTAAATGTTATTGATAATTCATGAATTCAGACATTTTTCTTAAAAAGGAAAAAAAACATTCTTTCCTCAAATAGATTTCACATGCAAGTCACTTATAAGAAAAATTCCATTGTCACTGTTCAAACTGCCAATATTTACCACAGTTAAGACATTCACTGCTGCCATCTTTAATCACTGGTGTGCGAGTACCTTCAAAGTGCCTTAAAACCAATAGATTCCACAACAGTAGTAGGGGAGGGGCGGGAAGACTAGAAAGGATATTAAGGGAATCTATTTTGCCTATAATCATTTGGCACTCTAGTTAAGAAATATAATGCCCTACACCTGAAACTTTTATAATGTTACATGCTAATTTTACTGAAATTGGCAGAGATGTGACACCCGGTATGAAAATGATTACTCTTCCAGGAATAAAGTAATTATAATGATAAATAGGAATAGAGTAACAAACTCTTATATATATTTCTGGAGGCCAGACATAGCTAAATGTTTTATATATTATTAATACTTTTATTCCTCACACCAGCCATGTGAGATAGATACTGTTAAATCTATTTCCACAGGTGAAGAAAATGAGGCAGACAGAAGTTAAGTGGCTTATTTGAAGTCACAAGTTGGTGAGAAGGAGAGATGGTGGAAGGTAAGAGGAAGAGCAATTTTAAATCTCTTTTAACAATTTCCTTTGGGGCACCTGGGTGGCTCAGTCGGTTAAGCATCCGACTTCGGCTCAGGTCATGATCTCCTGGTTTGTGAGTTTGAGCCTCCCCGTCAGGCTCTGTGCTGACAGCCAGCTCAGAGCCTGGAGCCTGTTTCGGATTCTGTGTCTCCCTCTCTCTGACCCTCCCCTGTTCACCCTGTCGTTGTCTCTGTCTCTCTCTCTTTTCTCTCTCAGAAATAAACAAAACATTGAAAAAAAATTTTTTTTGAAAACAATTCCCTTTAAAGAATGATCTAAACAACGCTGTGTTGTACAAAATGTGTGACACATTGCAGATGCTTAAAGAGTAAGTAAAATACTTTAAAATCTGGTATTTGCCATTTCCAATTTTGCCCGTAAAAAGAGGGATGTGGTAAGAACAATCAAGTCACCCATAAAGCTTTCAAGATTTACAAAACCCACATAAGTGAGGAAATAAAGTGGGAGGTGGAACTCATTCGAATATTTTGAGGATAAATACTACGCAGACTAAAAGATAAACTGGGATTCTCCTGCTGCAGCAGGAAAAGTACCGCAGTAAAATGTATCAAAATGAAATGATCCTGGGTAAATCACTACGTGTCTATGAATCCTTCCTCCCACCCTTACTCCCAGATGTCTCCGGCCTTTCCCACTTTGAACCTGCCATGCCTGAATCCCTCAACTGAAGTAAGAATGCAGCTTTACAAACTGCCAGTCTCGGCTCTTCCATGCCACCACGCTCATTTGGAGGCTGACTTCTGCCAAACGTGGGTGGAAGGCTCTGCTCAGAATCTGTTCCGCACAGAAATCATAGAAGCTGCAGAGAGGCCCCTCACTAGAAATAGTCTTACGTTGTTGCACTTAGAGGCCCTAGACGCCACCAAGCTAGGACTAAGAAGATCCTCTTACTAGCAGGTCGGTGGGATACTCTTCTTTGGGTGAACCCTGGCCCAAACTGCATCGGCCCATAACTAGGGAGCGTTCAGATCACTACGCTGAGTGCGGGGCCCACTTCTCCTCAGCCAGTCCCATACCTACCACAGGGTCGGTGACTCCGCCTGCCGTCTCCCTGGCGAACGCTTGGCAGTCACTCAGCACGTTGCTGAGCCAGAACCCGCGCTGCACATTTGAAACTGACTGTCCCCCAGTAGCGCCTCAAACACCAGAGCAGAAGGCCCAGCGGGCATGTGCTTCCGGTGGGCGCCAGCCAATCGCAGGCTAGGCTCCATCCCACTGCTGATTGGCTCTGATATTCCGCAAGGCAGCAACTCTCGCGGGAGCCTCAACACTGGTACCTGCTGTGCCTTCACTGGCTGAATCTAAATGAGACAGTGAAGTCCTCTGAGCACAGCAACGCCAAGCCCATCTTTTGTTTAACTTTTGCTTAATCGAAGAGCTAAATTATCTACGTATATTGACAGTATGTCCCCGTTCTTGCTTGAAATAGGAACTCAATGTTTTATGAATGGTCCATTAGCATTTGATTGCAGGAATCATATCGCATCAACAAAAGAATAAAACAAGTGCTTACTATGGGCAAGGCACTGTGCCAAGCACTTTGGGCGAAAACTGAACTGCAGCTCCAATTTTCTGAGTTACAATTCAGCTGGGACAAGACAAATACATTAAAAGTTAAATCATTATAGGGGCACCTGGGTGGCTCAGTTGGTTAAGACTCCAGTTTCTGCTCAGGTCATGATTGGTGTATTTGAGCCCTTCATTGAGCTCTGCACTTACAGCTCAGAGCCTGGAGCCTGCTTCTGCTTGGGATTTTGAGTCTTCCCCCACCCCCCACCCCCACCCGCTCTCTCTCTCTCTCTCTCTCTCAAAAATAAACATTAAAAATATTTTTAAGTTAAATAAATGAGCTACATTCTAAAAATAAAATAATATAAGAACTGATGACAAGGTTGCAAGTGGTTTGCTAATTGCCAAAAAAGCAGAACAAAGTATGAATAGAAATAAGAGAATGAGAACTGAAGGAGCCAGGAAGGGAAATACAGAAGGAAGGACTGAAAAAGCTACACGATGATGAAGGTATTGAAAACAGAAATGTGTGAAAGTCAACATTGTATTTAGGAAAACGTGAGAAGGGAAAGTAGCTTACCTGTGGTTACACAATTACTTCAGTGAGACATGAGTGGTAAGGAGACAGAGAAATAGGAATATTAAAATAATTTTTAAATCCTTCAACCATCAAAGTACTTGTAATAATGAAAATTTTGTGTATTAGATAAGTGGGAGGTTGACCCACAGTCTTATTCTTCAGAGCCCTGTCCAATACGCCTTTTTTTTTTTTTTTTGCCATGATTAAAATGTTCTGCATGGGCACTGTCCACTAGCCACAAGTAGCTTTGAGTACTTCCAAGTGTGGCTAATGCAACTGAGTAACTACATTTTTTTATTATTTTATTTATAGTTAATTTTAATTAACTTAATGGATTTTTATTTTAATTTAAATAGCCACAATTACCACATGGTTGAATGAAACTATTCTAAGTGGTACCTATGAATTTGTTCTATGATCAACATATTTAAAAGATGTATGTCATCGAGTTGAATGAAAATGACCAAGTCTACTGGGTGTTACATATCATTCTCAAACTCAAGCAAGGACACGCAAACTAAAAACAGAAGAAGGAGAATATGGTTTCTTGAGTGCCTACCACATGCCTTGCTAGGTGCATGAATACACTATCAGTAGCTAGTAGACTTATAGCTGGGAAAAATGGAGACTCTGGACCTTTATTACCAATAAATATCAGTGGTAAAACCTATTTAAAAATTTCAAATAAGCTAAAACATTTTTTACTTAAATGTTATGTATGGAGACACATATCGATAATCAGTAAATATTGTAATTATATCACAGTTTGAAAAAGTTTGGAAAACAATGACAAGAATTTACTATTTTCTCCTTGCATTTCAAAAGTAAGTTACAATATCATCTCTTGGGTTTTTTTTAAAAATATATTTATAAGAATTTGGGAAGAAAAACACTAGGGAAAATGGATTTCATATGAAATAAACCTAAGTGTTTATTATTCTAATAATTGTGCATTAAAGGCTACATGTTTTAAAGCCTTGAAAATTTTGAATTTTTTTAATGTTTATTTATTTTTTGAGAAGAGAGCAACAAAGTGTGAGCGGGGCAGGGGCAAAGAGAGCAGGATACACAGAATTTGAAGCAGTCTCCTGACGGAGGACTCGAACCCACAAATCATGAGATCACAACCTGAGCTGAAGCCAGATGCTTAACTGTGCCACCCAGGCGCCCCTAAAGACTTGAAAAATTTAATCTGCAAATGCACAGCACATCTTTTCTCTAATATTATACCAATTAATAATCGTTCTTTCAAACCTCAGAACTTCGGCTGTTTTATCTACATGTGATTCATGTTTAAATATGATTTTATATGATTTGAAATATGGCAAAACTGTCATTGTTAAGTGATAAAAATATCCTACAGTTGATTGTGGTGATGGTTGCACAATGCTGTGACCATACTAAAACCCATTTAATTGAACATTTTAAGTGGGTGAATTGCATGATGCATGAATATCTCAAGGAAGCTGTTTAAAATAAAATGATAAGTCATAAAGAAAGTAAATTTCAGGGCACCTGGCTGGCTTGGTCAGAAGCCTATAGGACTCTTGATTTAGGGGTTATGGGATCGAGCTCCATTCTGGGTATAGTGATTACTTAAAAAAAACAAACCTAAATTTAAAAAAATAAGGTAAATTTCTTATTTTCCTTGCATATGTGGTTATTTCACGTGATTGAGTGATAAAGAAATTTTGCTTTCTTAGCATTTGCCAATATTTCTGTTCCTCGTTTTGTTTTATGCAATTGTTTATCTCTTCTTTAAGGAAAAAGTAACTGCTTTAATTATCAGTCTCAAAATTTTCAGGATACTAATCAGTAATTTTGTATTACAAAGAATAAAAATTGCGCAGTCAATGCAGTTAAGAAAATTATACATTTTTCCACTAGATGGCAGTGGTGTGCAAATAGTGTTGCTAGAATCTGCAGATTCAGTCATCAATTAGTAACATTACTACAATTGTTTTCATTCACTTTGGTCTGGGTAAGATAAAGAGAAGTGGAAAGTTAAAACAAGATATTTCCTCTACTTACTAAACTTCTGGGTAAACAAAGTCCTCATTTTAAAGATACAAGATTTAATACAAGGAGAAATTGTCATAATCTTGTCTAAAGCAGAGTAAGAACCCACAACCCCTGACTCTTAATTGCTATCATACAAGTATACAATATCGAGTGGGGAAGTGGAAACCCTAGTCAAAGGGAACAAAAAACTTAATCTCTATTGTGCCATTGTACACATATTATTTCATTTTATCCCTAACTATAAAATCCTTACTATACAAGCCCAAACTGTAAACTTCATAAACGAAGAAGAATAATCAATTTATTTAATACTATATCACTTGAGTATAGCACAGTATCCAACACATAGTAAACAATGAAAAATATTTGGTGCTTAAATAAAAGGATAAATTAATTGAGTTTAACAACAACATCATGTAATAGGTAATATTATTTCTACTTGCAATTGAGGAAACTGAAGTTGGAAATATGAAGTAACTTTATATTCACAATTCAGTGGCAAAACCATTTAAAACAAGCTGACATTATTTTGCATTCTTGAACATTCAAAGAGCTCTGCTCCTGGACCATCTTCTGGTTCATTCTTTTTACTTCATTCCAAGTAAGAATGAAGAAATCCTGTTCTTGTTTCTAGATTTCTTCTAGTTTTCCGCTGACGTCTTGTCAAGTCCCTTTAACAAGAAGTCTTAGAAATCAGTAGCATTCCCACTTTGTTTGCCATTCAGATTTCTCTTCGTCCTACAGTGGAGCAGTGCACCTTTTCAGCCCTCAAATCCCCAAGGCTTATGGGAGCCGAGCACATCAGCAGATTGGTTCTGGTTTGGGCTCTCTTATTTGTATTTCTACAGTCTTTGGTAGTCCAAGGGCTTCCATGTTTTCATCTCGATTTTCTCAACAAATGAGGCTGGGATTGGATGATCTCAAAGGTTCTTTTTAGCTCTAAGACTATATGGTTTCTCACGTTATCCTATAGTGGTCGTCTATTGAGTTTATGACCTAAATAGCCAGTTTTAGAGGAAGAATGCTTGGCCTCCAGCGCTGGGAGGCCTGTGCACCAGACGGGCCTGTTCTGGCCACAGAGAATGAGGATTGCACACCTGACGCTTGAGCCTCGTTTCTCGGAACCGGACTCCTAGAGTGACTGGGTGGGCCTCCCCCACCCCGAGACGCTAGGGGGCGCTGGAGGCCGTTTCCCGGAAGCTGGCACGCTGCGCGGCCGGACAGCGCCGGGCGCCAGACCCCTGCGTCTTCCGGAAGCGGGGCCCCCGACCTGCAACGGCTGGGTGTGCGGCCACTGTGGTGGCGGGCGCGGCGGAAGAGAGGAGAACTGAAGCGGACCCGGGCCTGGCTCCCGCGCCAGGTGGAGCACCATGGACGAAGCAGGCAGCTGTGCGAGCGGCGGAGGCTTCCGCCCGGGCGTGGATAGCCTGGACGAGCCCCCCAACAGCCGCATCTTCCTGGTGATCAGCAAGTACACGCCCGAGTCGGTACTTAGGGAGCGCTTCTCGCCCTTCGGCGAGATCCAGGACATCTGGGTGGTGCGGGATAAGCACACCAAGGAGTCCAAGGGCATCGCCTTCGTCAAGTTTGCCCGCAGCTCGCAGGCCTGCAGGGCAATGGAGGAGATGCACGGCCAGTGCCTCAGCCCCAACGACACCAAGCCCATCAAGGTGCAGGTGCCCGGGTTGGGATGCCCGCGGGAGTGGGAGGGAATGGGCCTTCCTGCCCCCAAAGCCGTGTCAGGTGGGGTCGAGGTAGTACATCCGCTCCCTGGCGCGGAGTGGGCGGCACCTGGCATTCCGGGAGCGGGAGGAGGGGCGGATGGTGTGCGGCACAGGGTTTCTCGAGCCGCTCGGCCCGCCAGGCAGCACCCGGGTGCGGGCGGAACATCAGCCCAGACTTGGGCTGCAGAGCTGCGGTGACCGGGCCTCCCCGCACTCCCGCCGTTTCTAATCCAGAGCTCTGGCTTCCAAGGCCCACCTCTCAGAAACCTGTTTACCATGTATGAAAACAGATTTGTTTCCTTTTCCTCAGGTTGGTACGGAGTTTAGCAACTTGGTAACCGTGCGTTAAACTGACGTCTCTGGCATG